TGTACCGATTCACGATTTTGAGGCTGAGGGCCTGAGTTATTACGCCACAAGGTAGCTTGATATGAGGCCGAAAGTCTACTTGATTATGCCACGCGATGGCTTGATATTGCGCTTGGGCGTAAGGGGGCCCTCCCGGAGTCTGTACACCCTCAGTGAGTGCGGGTACCCAGTGTGAGATGTTATATAGCCTGAGAGGCTGATGCTGTTCCATGTTATTGCCCGAGGGGCTGATACGAGTGATTGTGAGATAGCCCGAGGGGCTGATTCTGTTGGTATTTTGCTCGAGGGGCTGATTTTATGTGTCTATCTTTTCTCACTGCTTTTCATTCACTCGTTTAAACTGCTAAAAGATGTTTTAAAGAGGTTTTCACTGAACTAAGGTGTTTTTACGAGCTTTCACTCTTTTATTGCATTGTATTGGTTTTATACTGCCTCATTGTAGCATTTTGCTGTATTTTACGTGTTTTTTATCACTCAGCTGCCTTTACTTTTTTACTCACTGAATTGGCGTACTCACATTACTCCCTTCACCCTGTGTGCATATCTAGGAGTCTCGGGTCACGCTAGCGAGGGCTGATTGCTTCCAGCAGGCTGTTCGGAGTTCACTAGGTAGATGCTCGGCGTTCGCAGCCTAGTGCTTCTCCCTCCTATCTTTACTTTCCTTTGTACTAGCTCTGTAATAGACTGTGTAGCCCTTTTTCATACTCTTAGTCGGATGTTTAGATGCCCATGACTGGTGACACCCCGATGTCAGGCTGTGTTTGTTTTCTGCATTTGTTCTATTTCACTCTATCTTGGGATTTATCACTTACTAATGACTTAAATTATGAATTATTATAACTGTTAATTGGTTTGGGGGTTTGTGTCGGCTAGCCTTGTTTCACGATAGGTGTCATCACGACCGGGAATCGTGACATAGAAGTAAACTGTTCTTACAGGAACTGGGCAAAGAAATAACTAGATGTTCAAGAACATCAAAACCTATACGTCGTAATTGACGTTGCATTGCATGTAAGTAGTGGGAGAACGTTAATAGACATGATATGCTTTTATCGAATGTGGGTGATGTTTGAACATTGAACACTATAGTAAGAAGTCACTAATATTTCAATAACGTAAGGTAATGAAGGTAATATTAGTAGTACTTCGTCGTAGTGGGAGAATGCTAAAGAAAATCATAGTTCGGTGTACACTTTTGGGATAGTTTCGGTAACAGGATCCCTGAAGAGTTTAATACCAAACTAGATAGTTACGACAAAGCACTACTGGACAAATATTGCATCAGATATAACTTGGCAAGATTCTTTAACAAAACCTTATTTGGTGAAGACTTTTAATAGTCACGTAAAAGAATGCCTGAGAAAGTTGTAGATGCATGGTTATAAGTCTAAGTGGGAGATTGTTGGGGCATGTACTATTAACCATGCATTTGGATATAGTATATTCTAATAATTGACATGGTTAAAAGTCTAAGTGAGAGATTGTTGGGATATATACTATTAACCATGGGTTTGGTTTAGATATAGTATTTATTATGAAACAATTGTTTATTCAGTTTTAATAAAGTTTTGAATAGATCATATATTAGTCTGTGTCATTTGCTTATATAGTGGATGATTTGATGTATATAGTTTAGCTTATACATGGAAGATTAAATCATCGGTTCTTATAAGTATAAAGTTTGAGTTCACAATCTAATGATGGAATTGGACAAACCATCAGGAATGATTGTAGCACAAGATTAAATATAATTTATCTTGATTGTGGGAATAGTTTAATTCCAACTTCTTATGCTAGTACATTTTGTATGT